TTCACGGGTATTTTCCTGATGTAAGTGTCCAGCCCATTTTTTCCAAAATCCTATAAAACAGGGGTGGGAACGTCAGGCCCATGGGCCATATAAGGCCCAAGAAATCATTTGGTCTGGCCCTGCCAAGGCATTAAGGGTGAATAATTAAATGTTTGACCAAATATAGCAGGCTAATTTTTAAGTTGATCATTCATTTTATATGGCCCGCTAATTATATTATAAATATCCAAGTGGCAGAAAAAAAGTTCCCCACCCCTGCTATACTAATAGAAAGTACCCACCCCTGCTATGGAAAGTACGTGGAAAGAATGAATTTCAGAAACACTGCTCACTATTCTCTTTAAAAGCCCTTTATAACTACAGAGCATTTTAAGATTACCTTCAAACTCATTCCCATGCTTTTGTTCTCTTGGTTTTTCAGCTACCATTCTAAGGTCTTAAATTCTCTGGGAGGCTCCACTCAACCTTTCCAAGGGCAATACTTAGCTTTTCAGTTGCAGAGTCTGGATACGATACGCAAATACAGATTCTGTTCAACTTAATGGAAATGTGTTCCTCGTAGTTCCTGCGACTGCATTAGTGCACTGCAGATTACTGCCTAGATCTTAAACTATAGCATCTCATTGTTGCCCACTGCTTAGCATGTCCACTTCTAGGCTTTTTTCCCTTTCTCATACAAGCAGCTAGGATTTTCCATCTTATATTAGGGTTGTAAATATATTGCTACCAAAACCATGTTGTTCTACTGTGACTTTAATTAAAGTTATTCCTCAGTCTAATTCTACCTTTCAAGGTATACTTTCATATAAAAGCCACAAAATTATTTAGTTAAACTATGTCAACGAATGAACATTGCATTATTCGATGATTAAGCCCTAACAACTTCACTTGAATAATCACCTACAGTTATTTCCAATTACAAACAAGAAAGATGAGTTAAGAGCTTGATCTAACAGCAACAAGGCAGCCAAAACTGGGATGAAATGTGAAGTGTTTGTGCACATGTCACAATAGAGACAAGCATCTGTGTTTTCCGTCAGCTTACCTGCTCCTGTGATAAGCACCGGATGGACTACTTAGTATCTTTAAAGAAATCTAATATCATCTCCTCCACCTAGTACACCAAGGAGGAAATACTCAAATGCCAACAATCATCACCTCTCTGGTCTGAGTCCTCAACTTGTATCTACCATATTCATCCATTTTGGTGCTACTGCTACAATTGTCATACATGAGAAACTGGCAGAACCTATGGACCCTGAAGTTTTCTAATGCAATAATCCCTCATTTTGACCAGTTTTACAATATATTCAACTGTAATAGGATTGCCCAAGTATTTTTGTTTATTATATACATTTCTTGACCTGATCCATCAGACATGGTATTCTATTTGCACATTTTTTAAATCTAGAATAAAATTCCAAAAGGACCTGACTGATGTAAAAAAAATTGGACTATCTGGGAAGACAGTCCAAATCTGTCAGCTCATATCATCCTCCAGGACACAGATTCTACCAATACAAAATAAATCTGTACATGAAACTATTATCAAAATTGGAAAGTAAACAGGTCTGTGTTCTCAAGCTTTTAAAGGTAACAAGACATGGCTATGAACATCTTCACCTGACTTGGTCCCCACTCAAAGCTATTCTCAGTATAACAGCTAGAGTGGCCTTTTTAAAATATCAGTCACATCATGTCATTGCTATGCTCAAAGCCTTACAATAGTTTCCCAACATACTCCAAGTTAAAACCGAGGTCTTCACAGGGACCAAGGAGATGCATGACCCGGCCCATTCACACCCCTCCCACCAGCTCTCATCTCTCTCCAGCCCCATTGGCCTCTAACTGCTTCCCCAAAATTCCAGTCATGTTCCTCCTCCGGGAAACTTTTATATCTGCCACTCCTCCTTCCTGTGGTGCTTTCCTGACTCACCTCCTTCAGGGCTGGCTCAGATGGAAGCCTTCTCCAACCAACCTATTTAAAACAGCAGCTTCCTACTCTCCCTCCCTTGCCATTTTTTGGCACATCACTTCCTAATATGTTTTACCATATTCTATTTATTTATTAATGTACAGTCTTCTCCCCTGACTAGAATTCGAACTCCATGAGGACAAGATTTTTATCTGTTTTATTCACTTCTACCCCAGAGCCCAGATAATGCCCAGCACAAAACAGACATTTAATATACAGAGGCAGTGTTGTTAAGTAGCATCATTTGTTTGTTTTCCTATCTCCTCCCATTAGCATGTAAGCTCCATGAGGATGGGGACTGGTGTTTTCCACTGTTAGGACCTAAAACAGAACCAGACATGACAGACTGTCAAATCTCAAAGGCAAGGCGGGGAGCGGGGGCAGAATAGGTTAACCAAAGAATTTGGTTGACACAGACAATAGTGCAGTGAAGGCCTGGGGGGAGGGAGAGAGCAGGTGCAGGGTAGAGGGGGAGTCAATGGTGGGCTGGGAGAGGTGAGTGGGGGGGGGGAAAGGAGACATATGTAATACTTTCAACAATAAAGACTTTTTTTAAAAAAAAGGACAAGTCTTTAAATGAAAAAGGAATGACAGGGAAAGATTGGTGAGGAAACATCAATGTTTCCATGGTGATAAGAAATGCCCTTTCACAGTACAAAATTGTCAGATTATAAAATGAAAATAAGTTCACTTTCATTTTTTCCCAACATGTTTCTTCTCCCATTTATCAATTATTAAAGACTTTCTGAAAAGAGCTTTAGCCCTTTCTTGCTCTTTCTTTCCAGTATTGAGGCTAATTCATAACAAAGAATTATGTGACTTTCTTTTTCTTGACAACTGATATAATAAACACAACATTTTCTCTCTTGGTTTTCTTTTGCCTCAAACTCCACCATACTTAAAAAAGAGGATGGCCGATATGGGTCAGTTGGTTGGGCATCATCCCATGTACCAAAAGGTTGCCGATTTGATATTATTGGGTCAAAATGGACTACAGTTTATTTTAAATCTAGAGCAACTGATCTATACCTTTACCTAGTTTCACAGATAAATCCACAGGACGAACTCACCGCTTGTAAAGGCCAAGAATTACGGTATTCCTTTTGAAAATACCCAGTTAATTTTAAAATATAAAGAGGTCATCATATTGCTTCAAAGGGCTTACTGATTTGGCAACTCTACTCTTAGAGGCTGAAACATACGAACACCAGTCTTAGAAGAATAGTTTATGCATCTACTTACAAAAGCATGATATAAAGTCTAGAAGACAGGGAAGAAAACCTGTGAGAATGCCGTTAGCTCAGCTACAATTGAGCAGGTAGAGTCCAGAGAGTCCCACCTCAATCAAATGGCACGGAGCAGTACATTTCAAATGGTCTACTCGGCCCTCAGCCTACAGAGGTGCTTAGAGGCAGCCACCAACTATGGAAGAGGAGACCAAGCCTGAGCTCCAGACCTTTCACACCCACATCAAAAAGAGAGCACCACCTCCCTGAATGTTTGTATGCTGGGGTTCTGGCAAATATCTCATTTTAAAAATGTCTGAAAACCAGCAGCAAGGGCTTAGAGTTAGGGAGACGCAAGTTCAAATTCTAGATTTGTTGAAATAGGAATATATACCACCATGCCTAGCAAGGAATCAGTGCTCAATAAGTGGTAGAAATGATTATCCATCAATGAGTAGTAGTAAGAGGTATTAAACAAGTGACCCTTAAAATACACAACCAAGAACCACATAACTATAATGTGACAACACACAACATTTAGTTATCAGTTTACTCCTTAGCCCAGTGGTTCTCAACCTTCCTAATGCCGCAACCCTTTAATACAGTTCCTCATGTTGTGGTGACCCCCAATTTCATTGTTACAAATTGAACATAATTAAAGCATAGTGATTAACCACAAAAACAATATGTAATTATATATGTGTTTTCCGATGGTCTTAGGCGACCCCTGTGAAAGGGTCATTCGACCCCCAAAGGGGTCGCGACCCACAGGTTGAGAACCAATGCCTTAGCCAAATATGAAATTACCCCTTATGAACCCACTCTATCCCTTAGGTACTAGAGACATGGTACCCAGGAACCCCAAGAGCTTTTCATGCACCTACTACAAAAGGAAGGAGGTGGGGAAGGAGAGGTGGAGGAAAGAAGAAAAGGGGCAGAAAGAGGGAAGAGAGAAGAAGGGGAGGAAAACAAAGGGGAGAAAAAGAGTGAAAGAAAGAGTAAAAACAAAAAAACCTCCAAAATATGAAAAGAAAATTACAAAACAGAAATTAATACATACTTGTCACTACTAAGAATTATATTAGAGAATTTTGGTATTCATAAATATTTCTTTTATGCTTAAATAATTTATGTTAGATTTTCTTCACAAACATGACAAAGAATGTACAATGACTGCAGAGAAATCACAACCAACTTCAAATTAGGTGACATACTCAAAGGTAAAATTTTTTTTAAAAATAAGTCAACCACTACAACACACACACACACACACACACACACTCTCAATGTGTGATATGAGCACATTAAATACATTTGATACTCTGTGATGGGAGCCTCAAATAGTAAGAGGCCCTAGCCAGTGATGGCGAACCTCTGACACGCGTGTCAGGGGTGACACGCGAACTCATTTTTTTGGTTGATTTTTCTTTGTTAAATGGCATCTAAATATATAAAATAAATATCAAAAATATAAGTCTTTGTTTTACTATGGTTGCAAATATCAAAAAATTTCTATATGTGACACGGCACCAGAGTTAAGTTAGGGTTTTTCAAAATGCTGACACGCCGAGCTCAAAAGGTTCGCCATCACTGACATAGGAGAAGGAAGAAGCAAATCCCAGATGCCCTCTGTGACCCTCCGGCTTTCCAGCATATGCATCTCATAACTCCTGAAAGCACCTTTAGGAATCACTGGAACCCCAGGAACCCCAAGGTTAAGGCCATGGGCCACTACACAGCTCCTCTCCCCCAGCTATAACACCTGGACGGATCACCAGACAAGAGGAAAGGAGGCTCACCTGCTTTATTTTATTTCGGGAGTTGGTGATTCGCTCTGTGATGCTCTGGTATGTGCGGATAGCTGTCGTCAGTTCTGTATAGTGCTGCACAATCAGTTCATCCAGGTCACGATCACATTTCTCATAGGCTTCTTCAAGGCGACCCTTCTCATTTTCTCTGTCTTCAACATCATCACTGGTAGACAGCGTTCTGATAAAGACAGAGAATATATCAAGCTGAGTCAAACTTAAAGCAAAAAGGAAAAAAGTACAGCATAGAAAATATAGTCAATAGTATTGTAAGAACCATGTATGGTGCCACGTGGGTACTGGAAATATTGGGGGAACACTGTATAAAGTATATGATTGTCAAACCACTTATGTTGTTCACCTGAAACTAACACAAAATAATATTGCATATAAGCTGTAATTGGAAGAAAAAAAGAAAAGACCAATTAGTCAATAAGCTAGCCCATTCATCCCACTAACTAGGAAATGAAACAATTTCCTAAAAGAAAATAGGAAACCACCTACATAGTAAATTCCAATGTTCCCGTCTAAACGTATTTGCTGGTTGCCTTATCCAAGGGGCCTTCCATTCAGGTTTTCCTTGGCATGACAACTGTAATCAGATAATAGGTGGCATGAACTCTGCAAGACCCTGGGCAGGTCTTGATTTGTTTGAATGTATCCTGGTAATTCCATTTCCCTTCCCAGTGACAAGTTGGGCCACTGAGACTAAGGACTTCTAGGTATAGTTTACTTGCAAGTAAGATTAAGGAAGCAGGCCCCTTTTCCCAACCCTGACTACTCTGACACAAAGCTGAGATACTCAAATAATTCAGCCATCTTACAACCATGGACGGAAAGCTCAGACAAATGCCAAGCTACTGCTATGACGTCTTTGGCCACCAAAGCAGACAACCCTGCAGCTGCCTGGCCTCAGGACTTCTTGCTAGGGGAGATGATAATTACCCACTGTTTAGGTCACTTTCAGCTGGTCGTCTTTTACATAGAGCTGAGTGTCCTAACTGGTAAATTCACTCATACACTGAGAAGCCACCTTCCAAATAGCTTTTCTTTAATCCTCACTCGAGGATAAGTTCTTATTGATTTTAGAGACAGAGAAAGGGAGAGGGAGGGAGGGAGGGAGAGAGAAACATAAATGGGCTGCCTCCTGTACCCACCCTGAGCGGGGATCAAAAACCCACACCTGGGCATATGCCCTGACAGGGAATTAAACCTGCAACACTTTGGTGCTTGAGACAATGCTCCAACCAACTAAGCCACACCAGCAAGGGCCCAAATAGCTTATTTAAATGACCTCAATTTGGTACAGAACCCCCAGTGGCCTGGAAATAAGGTCATATTAATTCTAAAATCTGTTAGGACAGCAATAATAGGAGCTACACTACAAGGTAGTCCCTGAATGTGCTATTCTTCCATCAGCACTAACAAGATTGATATGAATCAACAATAACCAGGGGATGAGATAGATACACTTATTAAAAATCTTTCAATAACTTTAGTTTGATACATGGGCCACAGACCTTTGTTTCCTCTATTATTTTTCTTGGATAATTTTTTTTAATTTAGTGTTATAATCAGCAACAAAGAAACCTTTTCCTCTTATCTGTTGGCTGTGGTAATTTAGAGTTTCATTAAATTCCCTCAGATTTGTCAGCCTATACATTCAGCATAATTTATTTCATTTATCTTTTTTAATTTAGGGAGGGGTATTTTAGGCTCTCAATGATGGATGCAATCAATTATAAGTCCATCATTAGAACTGCTTTCAGAGATGGTCTGTCAGCAAATCAATCACATATCCACTCCTAGATATTTGCAAGCAAAATACTGTACAACAGACTTCGCCAAACTGTCACTTAGACCAAAAGATCTTAATTCATGAGCCACATAATACATAAAACTTGTTTTTCAATTCAGAGGGAGATTCAGCAGGCCAGTCTTTGACTTCAATCTAACCTCCTGAAACAATTTGGTAAATGTGTTACGGATGCCAAGAGATCTGATCTAGCATGAAATTGGGAGTGGGGGGGAGAGTGTAAGGAAGGAAAAAGGTGATGCCTCTAAGGAATGTGGGGTCCACTCAGGAAATCAACACCCTGTGAACCCCAAGACTTAAAGGAAGGCCTTTCCCATGCCAGGTCTGTGTCCTCTGTCAGCTGGTGATCCTACACCACACTTACCAAGGTTACTTTCAGGTAGAGAAGACCATGCAAGTGTTTGACTAATAAATAAATCATAGCAGAGAATTTAGGGAGAATTTGGTTCCAAAGAAAGAGCAACCAAAATCACTTGCATTATTTGGGGGTAGCTAAGGATGTCTTCCTGTTGCTTCTATGATATATAACTTTGCTCTTTAAATCTGAAACCTTCCAGGCTGTTAATCAAAAGTAAAGCACAATCAGAAAATGCCTTCAATTTATCAATTGTCCCAAGAAGAAGATCCCTAGATATTTAACTCTATGTTTCCCCTGGTAACAGCCAACAGCCACAGAATTTTCAGAGCCACACCGCTGTGCATGACTTCCTCACCACCACCGTTTGTGGAAGGAAACATGCCAGACATTTCACACTGTTTACATTAAGCAGCAGCGTTACCACTAAGGAAAATGTCAGGCCCAGAGAGGACTTCATCCTGGGCATCAGCTGTCCCTGCGACACATCACTGGAGCATTAGGAGTTATTTAGGAAAATCAAAGAGTTACTAAAGTAAAGATTGAAAAGTAAATTGGTCTGTCGGGGGTTTCAGCTATTTTCATTTTTAGAGAAAATATTTATGTAAGGAAAACAGCCTGTGCCAGGGTTGCCCCACATTGGAAATTCTCTCTCTTGATGTAAACTGGGCTGAATGACTTTTTTCCTTTAGTAAAAAATACTTATATTGGAGAACTCTGAAAGTACAAACTATTTTTAAAAATTTAATTAAAGGAAAGGAAGGCAGCAAGAATAAAAAATAATAATGATGGCCGCTAATATTTAGAGAGGCTTAGTGGCTGCCAGGAAGCAGCTGTGCTGTAGACTTGATAGAATGTATGTTTAATCATCACACAGCCCTGGAGTGGGCCCTATGACTATCCTCCCTCCCCTTTTTACAGATGTAGCAGCTGAGATGTGAAGAGGTTTGCCCCACCTCATACAATAAGGGAAGGAACAGGACAGGGATTCAAAACCCAGGTAGGTCTGTTTTCTAATTATGCTCCTAACTGCTACGGGAGTCATGAGCTCTGGAGTCAAACTGCCTGGGTTGGAATCCACCCCTTACTGCCCCTGCGACCTTGGTAATTCTATCCCATTTACTAATCTATAAAAAGGAGATGGCAAGTACACCTTCCTTATAGGGTTATTGGTTAGAATTAAATGAGATCAAACAAGGCCTGGCACATCATTAGAACTCAACAATGTTGGTTGCTGTTGCTAGGTACCATGGGTATAGCAGCAGTAGTACTGGTAGTAGTAGGAGAAGCAGTAAAGGCAGTAGCATTTTTCCACAATGTAATGGGAAGAACATCCTTTGGAAACACAGGTTCAAATTTCATGCCCCCAAGCACTAGATCCGTGGTCAGCAAACTGCGGCTCGCGAGCCCCATGCGGGTCTTTGGCCCCTTGATTGTGGCTCTTCTTAAGTCAGTGATGGCAAACCTATGACACGCGTGTCAGAGGTGACACGCGAACTCATTGTTTTGGTTGATTTTTCTTTGTTAAATGGCATCTAAATATATAAAATAAATATCAAAAATATAAATCTTTGTTTTACTATGGTTGCAAATATCAAAAAATTTCTATATGTGACACGGCACCAGAGTTAAGTTAGGGTTTTTCAAAATGCTGACACGCCGAGCTCAAAAGGTTCACCATCACTGTCCTAAGCCTTAGGAGTACCCTAATTAAGTTAATAACAATGTACCTACCTATATAGTTTAAGTTTAAAAAATTTGGCTCTCAAAAGAAATTTCAGTCATTGTACTGTTTTTATTTGGCTCTGTTGACTAATGAGTTTGCCGACCACTGCACTAGATCATTTGGCACTGGGCATGAGATTTGACCTCTGATTCTCACTTCATTCTTCCTTAATGTCAAGAACTGTGAAGAGCCTGAGATTTTTATCCTACTTACAAGTTAACAGCTAGCCTGCCACGGTTTTATGGATTCTGGTAGAAGACACAAAACTCCTGGGTCAGACTAAGGACTTTATTACTCACAGCACAGCAAGTAGCATGAGCACCAGCATATTTGTTCAGTGCCTGTTCCCCCAAGTCCCATGGGGGTTAAGCCCAAAAGGATGCCTGCACACACTGTGAACTACTGGAGAGAACCCTGAGCTTAGAAAGCCAAATCTTTCATACTGGACAGGAAACATGCCTGCCCTCTGCTCTAGAAGACAAGATTCTATCTTCCAAGGATGCTTGCTAGCAAACACCCTGACAAGACAGTCTAAAACAAAGGGCACTCAGTGCTATGCTCAAAAGAACTCCCAAAACACAACACTCCCAAGGAGAACTGTCTCCCATGATGAAACGTAATTCATTGGGTTTCTCCAAGGAGTCCATGATGTCAAGTAAATACAAATTCATTTCCAACCTCTGTTTTCATGTCAGCAAAATAAGACCAGAAATACAATGTCTCACACAATGAATATTTGCAAAATGAACGAATGATAGACCGTCAGAACAGACTAATTCCAGGGAGAAAGTTCCTAGGCATGTTACCAACATCCAGCAAATTTCAGTGTGAAGTCATCTTCCTTTAAGCCAGTTACCTGATCTGAGCTGACAGCAGGGTAAAAGAGAACACTGTCATCTAGGCCAGCGGTCACCAATCTTTCAGACCTCACAGACCACCAGTGGTCCACAGACCACCGGTTGGCAACCGCTGCTCCAAAGGTTTCCTTAAACCAGCGGTCACCAACCTTTCGGACCTCACGAACCACCAGTGATCTGCAGACCACCAGTTGGCGACCGCTGATCTAGGCCACCCTACAGCCAAGTCAGGAGGCCTCCTAAGCCTCCATGTGATGGAGAGCTCACTAACTTACAAAGCAATTCAGTGCAATTTTAAATGCATCTCCTTATTACAAAGCCTTTCATTAAAATAAAATAAATAAAATAAAAACAAAATAAGCCTCTTCATAATGTCTACCCATCCACCTTTCCCAGTAACTCAAAACAAATCTATTCCTTCTTTCCT